TATTGAGTGTACCATGGACTGATAAGAAAACAAACAGATTGGAGGCAAGGATTCTGAGGCTTCATCTGACATACTTTGGACATGTTGTAAGGGGGGACTGGTCCTTGGAGAGGGACATTATGCTTGGTAGGGTGGAGGGACAGTGCAGGAGGGGAAAACCCTCTATGAAGTGGATTGATTCAGTGACTGAGGTAATTGGGATAGGTGTATTGGAGACAGTGCGATTGGCACAGGACAGAGCAGAGTTTAGGGCTGTACATAGGGTTGCTATGAGTCACAAACGACTCGACGGCACATAACAACAACAACATACAGATACGGCTTTGTTAACCAACAATAGGAAGTCCAATCTTTAATGGGATTATACCCATAAGCACAGGGGTAAGATCCTAATACATATTTTGAGGACATAATTTAATCCATACCAACAATGGATTAAAACAAAACATAGAATTATTATTCCTGACATTTAGCAAAAATAATAGCATTTCCCTTCAGAAGATCATTACAAACTAGAACCAAAGAGGTAAATGGTAGGACAAAAGGAGTCAGCTTCAAACATTTCATAGACAGGAAATAAAAGATTCCATAGCAGAATAGGGAGACACTGCATGACCCCTACTTTCTTGAAATAAAGCTTTGCCCTCTCTTGAGGCACAATGATCTATGTCACTTGTGACTTTATAAAATGCTTTAAAAAGACAAAACCAAAAATAAACCTATGAGTAGAACACACTCTGCCCTCCATAGAGTTTTCAGTAAGCAATTTCTGGAGAAGCAAACTGGCAGGTCTTTCTTCTGAGGTGCCAATGGGTAGACTCCAGCTCTGACCTTTTATGATCATTCAAGGGTCCAACATTTGGCCCTTTCTTACTTACTTGCATAAATTTACCAGAACCTGAACTCAAATGTCAAATCTTCAAATATTAAGTCATTTCTTAGGTAATATTATAGCACGTTAATCAATATTTTAAAGGCTGGTAGTAAGATGCATTTTAAAGATGCTAGGCGCATTGCCATGGGAAAGTCTGCTACTAGGGACCTCTCCAAAGTACTGAAGAGCAATGGTGTCTCTCTGGAGACTAAGGTGATTCTGATACAGGCCATGGTCTTCACAATCACTTGTTATGCATCAGAGAGTTTGACAATGACCAAGGAGGATAGAAGGAGAATTGATGCCTTTGAGCTGTGGTGCTAGAGAAGAGTATTGAATATACCATGGACTGCTAGGAAAACAAACAGA